GAAGTTGTTTGCAAACTAGGTTTGAACCTCAACTCTACTTTCCAATCAGCGCAAGGTAAATAAATTTTGGCTCCTTGGCAGACAGCCCGGCCCTGAGGCTCTGTTTCAGCCTTTGAACACAAGCACAACAGAGGGACGAGTGAAGCAAAGCAGGGACCCGGGGTTCACCCTTTCCACCCCGSTTCCTCAGAGCAGCAGCTGTGTAAGGTCCCGGCAGGAAGGAGTGCTCAGGTGCACAGGGCGAGATGGCCCAGCAGTGACTCCAAAACATGAACCTCTGCCAGCTACGGACGGACCTGTGCAAATACCAGGGGCCAAAAGCTACCAGACAGCACAGACATGTGCAGTGACACTGCCTGGCCCAYGTGTGCTCCCTGCTAGATGTGTAGCACTGTCAAGAAGTGCTGGGTGTTTTGCCCAGACTCCTGTCACTCTGCGCGACTGCTCTGTGATGAGCTGGCTGCTTCTCGTGGAGGCTGTGTGGGCCTCACACTACTTGCTTCTTTTTGCCCCAAAGCAGCCGTGTCCTGGTGTCTGCAGGCAACGTGTCCTGCGGGTCAATCCTGGCTCTGCAGAGCCCACGGGTGGGGGCCTTGCATGGAAAACAAGGAAAAAGCTGGGAGAACCATAGCCCAGGGGCCCATCAATCACTGCACGGAAAATACCTCGAGAGCGAAACCACTGAAGGCTGGCCAGACAACATCTATTTCTCCCCTTTCTTTGCCAAGTGCTAAAAAAAGCCAAGGGAGAAAAAGCAGTGCAGGGAGCAGGTTTGACCGGCTCTGYCACATTTTTGTGCTCCCTCTCCCTTTCCAACACAGACTCGCACAGGGTTTGTTTTTTTCCTGACCAAGCACCTCCAAGGTGGTGTCTCCAGCTCCACGGACGGGTCCCTGAGGGAAGGAATAACTCACTGGGCATGGGGAAGACAGGCTCGCTTCCCAGCTCTGCCAAAGCTTTCCTTGTGACTCCGTGTCCTCCCTCAGCCCCACAAGAACACSGGCACTGGGCAGCGCTTCTCAGCACCACAGGCTGCTGTGGAGGTAACTAGGGGAGGCAGCAGGAGGTTCAGATATGGTCACCACAGAGGCCCTACAAGTAGTATAAATACCCTATTATCAAGTCCTGAAATTGGACTTCTGGACTTCGAGGTTTTCCAGTTCTCCCAGAAGTTTTCCCGTTTTTGCACTTTTAACACTACTTTACRGCACACACAAAACATTTGCTGCTGCTGTTGTGCCACAGTGAGACTTAAACTAAACGGTGAAATAGTCTATTATTTTAACACATAAATTGCTGAAAATACCACAATGCAGACTGAAAYAGCTCACGTACTTCAGAACAGTTCAGAAATATTTTTGCAACTGCCTTTGTCATGGATTTTTCCGCACTGTTTTGCTGTTTTGCAAGTGTAGAGCGACGGCTCACGCCTGCCCGCAGCGCGACACCCACCTGCACACGCTCCCGTTGCTGCTCCTGCACCGCGCTGCTCGGTGACGGAGTAGGGAYGCCCGTCGTGTCCGGGACACCCGGGGCCTCGCAAAGGAACCACGAGTCACTTGCGTAGATCTTCACATCCTGAGGGCTCTCAAATCCAGAGCATCTGCCCAGACAGAACACATCAGGTTGACTTTTATCTCTGTTGACACCGCTGCACACTCTACACTGGCTCATAAAAAASTCCATGTGATAATTAGAAGGTTGGATGAGTTGCTATGAAAACATCAACAAAATTAATCCAACCCTGGGAATGTAAAAATTCTATTTTACTTAACTTTTTATTTTTACTTAGTATTTTACTTATATATATATACTTATTACTTATATATACACTTATATATTATTTACTAAATATTTTTACTTAAATATTTTAATATTTATAATTATATACATATAATTATATACATTTAATTATATATTATAAAACATCCATATTTTGAGTATTATAGATATTATAAATAGTATATTAATATACTTATAAACAATAAGTAAAAAATAAAATATTCTTTACTGACTTAAAAAGTCAATGCTTCTGCACTTCAGATTCACTTTTGCTTAGTCCTACCTGCATTTATATATATATATTTTATATATATACACATACACACGGAGACATCATTGGGGTGAGCTGGTCTTTGTGCCTGCCTCTCCCCGCATGGAGGGACGCGCTGGTCCTGTCGCTGGGTGTCCCTGTCCTCCCTGCCCCTCGGAGCACCACGGGGCCAGGCTGGGTGCTCACGGCAGCTGCTACCACACGCAGGGTCCCCAGTGACACCGATGTCCCCACGAGCACCTGCTGCAGCATTGTTGCTCTCCCACCGTTGACCAGGTCCCAAGCAGTTTGTGGGGACCAAGGTGGGCGGCAGAGCAGAGGTTGGGGAGCTGCCATCCCTCGCTGCAGTGAGTCATGAGCCGCATGCTCCTCGTGCATYCCTGTTCCGGACACGTCTTCCAGCCTGGGGCTCCCGGCTCACTCGGCCTGCAGGGAAAAGCAGCAACGCAGAGTTATCACACCAGGAGGAGATGCAGCAGCTACCGCTGCCCAGGACAAGGGCACCCTGTGTGCCTTCAGCCCGCATCCACCACCCACCTGGGAGCAAAAACACGGTGCTCCAGCACCCCAGGGTGCAGCTCATGCTGAGGACGACCTCGGAGCAGAGCTGGTGCCAAAACACCAGCAAAGTGGTACCCACCTGGCTCCACGGTGCCATCCTTGCTTCGTCCCACACGGGCCACCGTGGCCTCTTCTCCTGAGCTGTGCCGGGGGATAGATCCTGCAGAATGCAGCTTAGCAAAGYATATACATCTCTCTATATACACACATGTATCCCCTCACAAAATTGATTCTGTGTTTCTCCACATCAGAAGGAATCTCTTCAACAGCCCAGAGGTGAAGGGACACGGACAGGCCTTTTTTTGCCCAAAAGCAGAACAGTGCTGGCACTTTTCTACAGCCCRATCTACATTTCTAAACTTTTCTACAGCTGTTCTCATGGACACACTCGAGCAAAACCAGCAAAAATGCAGAAGAGGAAAAAAACGCCCAGAAAATCACAGTTTTCACTACGYTGGGACATGAGCAGTGATGCACACGGCAAACTCCTGAGCTCTGGGCACACTAGCAGTTGGGTTGGCCCCTGCACCAAACACAATCCCTGCATCAGCAATGCAAGCAAAGCATTAGGCTCCCAGCACAGCTTGTTGGTTCAACAACCTCTGCGACGATAAATGGATGTTTTTAGCACAATCCTGGTCTTCAAAATCGGGCTGTAAGGTTTTAACCTGACAGTGTCCCTTGAGAGGAAAAAAAAAATATATATATATATATATGTTTATATATATAATACATTATATATTACATAGTTATATATTTTATACTCACATATTATAATATACATATATAGGGCTTACAAAAGGACACCTCCCTACATGTTTTTGCTTTTTAGTATGAAACCCAACATTTTTATAACCATTCAAGAAGATGTAACCCAAGCCACYGCTGGCGAATGGCATTTTTGGGGGCAAAGCTGTGCCCGGCTCCTCCGCTGACGTGGCTCTAGCCACCGCAGGCTGGAATACTGGCACACGGGTCCCTGAGGCTTTCCCAGATCCTCCAGGGAGCAGGGGACACCCGGCTCCATCGGTGCCACCATCCAGCACGGCCACCGCGCGCGAGCCCCACGCGACCCATCCCACCCGCTCCACAGCGCGACCGTTCCTTGCAACACCACAATGCTTCCAAAGCAACAGGAAAGCCAACAGCAACAGCCATGCTATTATTATTTTTTTTTTTGCATTATCATAAACTACGTTCCTATTTTTCAACAGATCACTGCCCAAAATGCATGTTAGATATGTTTTTATTTCTTTCTTTAAAGAAACCGCTGGCGTGAATATGCAGGTTGCTTGCAGCTAATGAGACGGAGCAGTAACTCAGACAGTAGTTTGAACAGTCACAACTCGGGAAAGTCGGCACAGCTGATAGAGAGCCCGGGCAGAGTCCAAGTGTCACAGGGGCCACCGCCGGGGACGGGGCGGGATGTGGGGGCAGGAGGGGACGGCAGTCGGGGTGCCCTGGGGACTCCACACCGGCCACCTCGCAGGGCCCTGCGCTCCTGCCGCGCTGACACCGAGCTTGGTTACATCTGTGGGTGCCTTGGGGCAGAGCTGGGACCTTTTGGCGTCCTCCTCTGTCCCCACTGTGAACGTGGAGCTGCGAAGGAGGTGCCAAAGCTGCAGGGTGGCTACGGGCAGCCCCAGCGCAGCCCTGCGCTGCAGCACAGCCCCAGAGCAATGTCCCGACGTCTGCCGCGCGTCTCCCACGCTCCAGAGAGCAGCTACCTGCACCCATGGCTCCTGACAGAGGGTGAGACACAAACCCGGYGCAGGCAGAGGCAGCAAAGCCGCCCGACAAACTAACCTGGCTGCAGGGAATGACGTAGCCGGGAGGGTGACACCTCGAGCCGAGAGCTCCACCGGAGCCACCCGGAAACAACATCAGGGGCAGCTGCTGGAGCAGAAAGGTCCCTGGCAGCCCAGGGTTCGCCTGCGACCACTCATTCCTCCACAGAAGCCGATTGCTCAGCCTGGCCCCAGCCAGATGCTCTTGCAGCGCGGGGAAACAAAGCAAGCGCCGCATGACACTGAATCTGTCACTTGCTAAAGCAGGTGCAACTCCGCAGGAACGAACGGGATAAACATTCCACACTATTCCAGCGCTAACCGGCACTGCCTCTATTGATTATCTCTTTATTTGCCGCCTGGCAAATAAAAATTAAATGGGCAACAGTGGGAGCCACTGCAGGACAAGGTGATTCTCGCAGCGTCCTGCAAGTCACGGCAGGCCACGGAGCTGCTGCGCTCCGTGTTACTGCTAGGAAGCAATTAATTGACAGCATTTGCATGAGRGCTAATAAACAGAACAGACCACGGCACCGTTCCTGCCCACGTGCAACTTCCCTCCCTTGAGCAGCACTTGGATGACACATGGGCACCTCAAGGGAATGAAGTTGACCTGCAGGAGCGTGTGCAAGGGGGGAGCTTCCTATCTGGAGGCATAAGCACTAGAGCATCACACTACTACTCATCAGATTTTCTATAATCAGGAATTATCTGGATAGATTAACTTTTTTTATAAAATATAGGGCTACAGAAATGAGGCATTTATATATTTTGCGTTATAAAAAGCTTCCGCTTACATAATATTGAAAATATATTTTCAGTGCCAACAGTATATTTGCAATATAGTATCTGATACAATAAAAATATATGTGTCCTGGCTGGCAATGATCTGCAGCAGGGACTGGGCGCTGTGTGCGGCTCAAGCAGCTGGAAAAGCCAGGTGCTCCCTCCCTTCCTTGGCTTCTCAGCCACCAGGAGGTTACAACAGTGACACGAACCTTCCTGAAGTCCCCTCCAGAGCAGGCTGCCTACGGCATAAGGAATATGCCTTCACTCACTAATATGGGAAAAACCCAGATTCTTTGCTTTACAACTTAAAAAGGCCAGCTGGCCCAAGTGAAACTCTGCCTGGCATTAGTGCAGAAATGGGACTAGTGCAAGGATGTCCCAAGAAACAGCCCTGCAAGGGAAGGATCTTGTGGTAGGAGGTGTCAGGCTATGCAAGGGACACCGAGGCCTGGCAGCTCCGAGGCTGCTGGCACTCACGTAAGGGAGCCGGGCACATCGGGGTGCCAGGGTGTGCGTGGGGAAACAGCCGGGCTGGGCCCTGGGTAGCTACACAAAACCAAAAGCGGCGACAAATTCATCCCTTGGGCAGCCACATCCCTCAACATCCACGGAAAAGCACTGCATCCGCGCGGTGTGTGCCCAACTGTGAGGAAAGGACTACGACCCACGGCCACAGAGCTGTTGAGAGAGGTACCCTGCTCCCTGGGGAACCCCTGGCGTCCTGCTACATGCTGGGAATCCAACTGGTGGCTGGGAATACCCGGTATGCGTTGCGGTGAGCGGGCCCCGGCACCCTGCGGGGTCCTCTGAGCGCTCACWGGGATTCGTTGTGCACTTTGCTCACCCAGAGCTTACTCTGATCCTTCCTAGCTTGAAACTCCCCCAGCTCATGTGTTCAGGGAAAACTCCACCCAGCTCAGGGTGCTGGCACCGGCGCGAGCGAGAGGAAAAGCAGGCTCTCTAGCAACGGGGACACTGGCTACGCAGGCTGTACCCGTTCAGCATTCATTTCCAGGACCTCACAGGTCGCCCTGGCGGATCAGCCTTTTGCCAAAGCAAAATCAGGGCCAGGCATYTGGGAAGTGTTCTGCCCTATGGTGCTATGGATGGAGCTCTTTGCTCCTAGGAGATGACCAGCTAAGCTATCGACATGTGCTACCGTATCTAATCGAGCTTGCTAGCTTAAAAGCAGGACTTGTGCCTAGCAAACAGAGCTGTGCATTACTCATTGAACCCCGAGCAGCAGCTCGCTCTCCTCAGGTGTCGTTAAAATATTCACATGCTTCCAAAATGAAAGAAAGTTCCCCCAGTGTCTCTGAGAAGGGGAGATGGGGTGGGCTGCGTTYGGTCGCCGTCGGGCTGGAGATGTCATACAAAATCCTCACACACTGGACATGGCTGGACTGTAAAAGGCTTCCACCCAGGAAGGAGGTCCTCGTTACACACAACGTCTCTGACTCCTGCAGCGCTCTCCCAAGGGGGCTGACTCGTTACATGACGTTCTCGAAGAGCTGTAAGGAGCGCATGATGTTGGCGTCCTGTGAGCAGGGAGAAGACACGGGCTGTCACAAAGCCTGCAGGGACAAGGCCCGCTCCGTCGCAGAAACACAACTAGCTCAGAACGCCAACACACAAAATCCCAACCTCTCCGAGTACTTGGCTCCACATGGGAAAGCTGGAGACAGGGGAAATACCACAATGCTTCTGGTGAAGTGACATGAAACRTTACTTTGAGCTAATCACCAGAGCAATATTCAAAACCAAGAGATGACTTTTTTCCCCCTAGGAGCTCAGTCATCCCAAAAGTCAGAATAACTCTTGGGCTGTAATAAAACGTAGATATCTACAGAATCTACTGTCCCTTATCTGCTTTAGAGGTGTTGAAAGCATTGGCCATCCCTACAGCTGCCAAGAAAAGCAGCACCCTCCACCTCTCCTCTAACTTCGTTTCGCAGGTACTAGAGCCAGGCAGCCCCTCGCATGGGAAACCAACTGTCCTCCAAAGCGGTGCTTGGAGGCCGGGGGCCATAACCTCAACACAGGCAAAGGTTCATGTTACAACGCACATCTGTTTGTTGGGCACAGGCCAAAAAGAGGCTGTCTTAGCATTGCTGGGCTCCTGTCCGCAAGGAAAGGCCACGTTAGAGCCYATCAGCCTGCCCAGCTCCTGCTGCAAGTTGTCAGCCACAGCATTAAAGAAACTGCAACGTTTCCAAGGGAAGTGAAGCTGCAATCGATACTGACACCACTATTCACAGCACTTGCTTGTCACACACAAATTTGGCTTGAGGCAAATTATGAATGTGAAAAACGAAACACAGCCTGGAGACATATCAAAGAGGAGGTCAGAAAGAAACCAATAATCGGGAAATATCAAAAATGTTGGAGCTGAAAAATGAGCCTCCCATTATGTATCTGCTCCCAAGGCATTTTCCCGCTGGAAACCCTGAGAAAGGCTTAYGTGGTGGCAGATGAAGATCTTTTGCACAAGGGTTGGGATGGCAGCCCAGCCCCTCCAGGGTGAGTGTTTGAGGGCAGAATGGGATAGACTTCCCAGGAAAGCAAAAAGCACCAATGGCTGGTACATACTTACTTGCACTGCTGACCAGTCACACAGTTAATTACAGTCTCAGACAATGGACATTGAGCTGATTGCAGATGCAATATTCATGCAGATGCTTGTCTTTGTGCCAGTGCTAAAAACACCACCAAATATTTCTTACAACCAATTTAATACAAATGGAATTTGCAAGAGGGAGTTCATTGTCAAAACAGAATATTATCATTGCTAAGATTGCAGCATTTATTTCARCATTTGCCCTTGAAACCACAAATGGGTTTTCAAAATCTGCTGCAACTGCAAATGGTCTAAACAGACTGTTTCAGCAGTGTGTTACCTGTTAACAACAGCCAGGGACAGGTCAGAGAGACACTGTCAGCATCTTAGAAAAGGRRAAAAAAAAAGGAGGAAGGGCTTTATTAAGTTCTGAGATTTATATACTTGCAAATAAAAGCACTGGGCACCAAGCTGGGGTGCAGAGCAGCMGCTCRYTGCAGAGCTCACTGTAAGCGAATGCAAACGCTGTGGCAAGAGCTAGTCCTTCCAACGGGGTCAGCACGGTGGCCTTACCTCCTGACACGATTCAATAAACTCATCTAAAGTTACAACACCGTCTTTGTTTTTGTCCATTTTCTGCAAAACAAAAACAAATGTTTTTGGTTTCCATGCGTAAGCCTGCAGTAGAGCATCACACCTGAATACTTYGAGGGCACCTTGCAAGCTTAGATTGCAGACAGAGTATCAGTGATTAAATCAGCTGGCACCTAAGGGCTTGTTTACTCTGGTATTCGGGGCACTTCTGAGGTCTTCTCTGCTCCTCCTCCCCTGATGAACACACCAACCTCTGCCCATCTTGCACCACTTATTCCTTCAGCATCTCACTAATCCATACTCCTCTGSTTATTTTTATGGGCAGTTGTGAGGAGAAGCACCCGTGGGCTGGGARATGGAGCATCCCTGGACTTGCTGGACATGGATGAGGGGTCAGGCCACAAGCCAAGCAGATACCTTGGAGCCAGCAGCTCCAAAAGGATCGCATGTTTGACTCATGGCTGCAGGGTTCATTTTTGGGATGGGTAGTGGATAGCAGTAATACCGTTGTGACTAACCTACCAGTAAAATATATCAGAGCATAGCTCAAACACTAAGAAAAATGCAACAGAAATCAAATAAATACCTGGAAGAAAACTTCTACRTGCTGCCTCGGAGCATCTTCCTTGAGCACTGGATACGTGTATTTTCCCATCATATCATAAATTGCCTTTACTATATCCATCATTTCCTGCAGTAGTGACACAGCATCGAAAACACGACAGCTAAGTTAATAAAAACAAAAGCATATTTGTTTTATTGCCCTTTTTTTTCCCCACTCGCTTTCCATTACAAAGTGGAGCAGACCTTGGGCTCATACCTGCTGTCACCCCCAGGGAAAGCCTAGACATGCACACGTAGACATGGTCACCAGCTACAAATTCATCTAGAAAACCAGGAGCACCTTCTTTCCTCTGCCATGACCTGACAGTAGAGACCACTCAAGGCCTCTCTTGGTGCTACCGGGCGGCTCAGGGGCCTGTGGCAGACCCACAAGCACAGCAGATGCCCACAGGAGCTTCAACATGAAAGTCTATGTTGTACGTGTGGCTGTTGGCCTCCCCTGTGGACCTTCGTGCAAAAATTTGGAAGTGGTCATGTTCCCATGCTCAAAATCAACTGAGAAATCAGGAAAGCTGGCTAATAATATAACGCTAATGACCACATTGAGCCATGAGCAGTGCTGTAGCCTCAGGAAGGCCACACCATCATGCCAGCACTGCTGGATGTACCCAAACTACCTGGATGRTTGTGCACATCCAGAGGATCCCTGCACTTGGTCACTGAGGACTCCATGTCCCCGCTACCCTCCCCTTTGCAGAGGTTGTTTCCGTGAGTAGCTCTAACCAGGACTTTGTTCCTGGTTAAAGCAATCCATTAAAGGCAAGACAGCAAAATGCAGTTAAACAAACATGCAACACAAGAGCACCATGGCCTAAGACACAGAAAAATGCTCAAGTCCAGTCTGATTTGTGCTTAATTAGCTGCCTATAAAATGAATGGTGCTCCGGAGCAGAAAGCAGCCAGCTCTCTTCAGGAAGAGCCGGCCGTGTGGCAGGGAYAGCCTTACCTCCTTGTTTATATAGCCATCCTTATTTATGTCATACAGGTTAAATGTCCATCGGAGCTTTTCATGGACCGTTCCTCGCAACAGAATGGACAAGGCCATCACAAAATCCTGGTTCAAGCAGAAATGTGGATTTTAATACTGTGTTTTTCCAAGTCACTGTCTTCATAAAACCTCTCAAATGACCTTTCTTCTTAGGATACAACATGCAGATATTGGCCTCTGCCCCTCTTTTGTAAGCTGTCTTGTCCCTCAAGGGGCTCCAAGGCCACAGTGCAATGTTACCATAACCTGAGTTGTGTCTCGCTGACAAATGGGGATGAGGTAGCTAGGAATAAATCACAAAAAAACATTTTTTATTCGACTGCAGATTGCCCCCAAAGCCTGAGCTGATGACAGGGGTTCGGCACCTGCACGAGAACGTCCAGGAGGACCTTGTGGGTGCCAGGTCCATGAAGTCTCCTCGCAGGCAGGCTGGGGAGAGGAGGCTGCTCCACTGGCTCCCTGCAATCCTCTCCCAGGGGAGCAAACAAGGATTTACCCTTTCATCAGGTCTATTGACTCTTGCTGGAGAGACCTGCAGCTCAGGAGGAAGCCCAACTCCCCTCCTGCATTCCCAGGGGGACAACACAACCAATGCTCTCACACCCAAAAAGCAAAGTGAGGCCAAAATGCCCCAGGATGTTCCCAGAACACTCAAATCTGGCACATCAGGACCACAGATGTCTCCGTGGCCGCTCTGAGAGGGCCCAGGAGAGCCCAGGCTCCTCCTGCCACACTGTGGTCTAATGCACAGAGCCTCAGCCTCTCTCCTCAGGCAACCCATTCATCAGATACAATCCTTGCCACTAATTACCCCAGCTGGGACGCAGCTTTTTAATTGTGTTCTGTTTACAATAAAGTTATTGCTTCCAATAACTTTGATTTATCGTTTCCACTGCCTAAAGGCTCAGGTGCAGACAGAGCAGCATCACAGAGCTCACAGCGAGCAGGGCTGCCCCGCTCCTGCCACCCCATTTTGTGTTCCCAGGCCATTCCTGTGTGACCTCCACCGGTGCTCGATGTCCTTGAAACCTTTGCTGCCCTTTCCCGGGKCTCAGAGGGATTGGGATTTGCTGAGCAATTCAAAAAAGAGGACAAAATGCTTATGTTGGACAAGTACTAAAGAGACAGATCTGCCAGGAAGGGGAGATCAGCATTATTCTTCTTTAATACTTATTAAGCATTTTGCTGCTTTTCCAAGGAAGGCATCAAAATGGAATATAAAAAAATTACCTCAAACTTCACAGAGCCATTTTGTGCAGTGTCAAAGGCGTTGAAGAGGTAATGTGCATACATGCTAGCATCTGGAAGACAAAAAAGGCACCGGTTCATACCAGCTCCTTACAGTGGAACTGGTGTGAATTAGAAAGAAACAGTTGTACATTTTCTTTTGGAATAAAAGAAAACCACCTTGCAGCTTCTTTGGATCATCTATGACCTAGTAAAAATTACTGTGGAGTTATATAACAGCCTAGAAAGGCAAAAATTTTCATTGCAGTGGTAATGATCTGGATTATGGCACCAAAATTAAAAAGCAAAGAAGAACCCAGGAATGTCTCTGCTCCACCAGATAAGAGCACCCAAACCTAAGCTTTGCTTGGCCAAGTCCTTCAGCATCAGCCACAGGAGGCTCATGGAGAGCAACCAAGGAAAGCTGGATGTGCTGGTGAGGTCCTGGTAGGAGCCTCTGTGGCATCAGGATGCCAGGGAACAGCTAGGGAAGTAGTTTGAACAGAAGGATTTCAACAGCCAAAGCTTGAGGAGAGCACAAGACATCACCATGGTCAAAGAGCAACCTCATCCCAAATATATGTTAGTCCTTTTGAATTTTCAACTGCTGGTATTAAAAATGCATATTCACGTATGTCTTTTCTCCCGAGAAGAACAGCCTCTCTGAATGAAGGACATGCTGGTAATGGGGAAAAAAAGTAACAGCATGCAGAAAAATCTAATAAGTGGTCGACCTTAAGACCTTCCTTGGTCTCTCCCTGCTCTGGAGATAATATGCAGGCTCTGCAGGTTACTAGAGCCAGCTTTTAGAAACTGGAAGTGACTGGCATTAATATCACCCAGTTATTTCCTTGCTGTTCGAGGATCCATACATTATTTTCCTCCTCTGTTCTTTGCCTCTGGCATATAGAGCTAGTCTAGCTTGAGCCTTGGTACTTGATGTTTGGGTATCTGGTGACACCTAATGACTTGTGCTGTGCAGGGACTCACATGGAAGGACCTCAGCATCGCTTTGCTCTGAACCCTGTGACACAAGAAAATATTTCCACGTTACCCAAATCCAGGGGAGTGCAGCAATGTGCAGGAAACTCACGTGTTCAGGGTACTGTCCTTTTGCAGGTATGGAATAGGCTGGACTTTAGGGAAAAAAAAATGCGGCTACTATCTTTATAAGGGATATAATCTTTATAAGATTAAAAAAAAATCTTCATAAAAGATATGGAATTATTAGAAGGATAGTCCTACAAAAAGCCTTACTGAGATAAAGTAAAAGATTAATTAAAATATCAAAGTGTTTTCTTTCAATAACAGCTGTTCTAGTATATGGAAATACTAGATCATCAGTAAAATTTGACAGCAAATTAGCAAGAAATGAAAATCTGTCAAGGATGTAAGGCTTGTGTTAATGAAAATACTGCAGCCTGGGATGACCCTGCAAAAGATTTGTAATTTGGAGGTATGTCACTACATCTGGGATGTACAAGTTATTCTGTATGAAGAGCCATAAAAGCGAGAAAAATCCCTGAGAAATCTGAAATCCCACAATTTATGGCACTGTCGGGTTGTATAAGCAGCTTGAAAACCAAGGGAAAGAAAACAGTGGAGAACAAGAAGATATTTCTGTTGTTAAACTGAGACCAGGGGAGAACTGTATTTCAAGGGAATGGGGCACAAAGCAAAATAATGGCAAATCTTCTTCAGCTGCAACAGAGGGAAAAAAAAGCAGCTATCCATGAAAGATGGAGGTTTTGGTGCCCAATGTTTCTTTCACGTAGGAAGGACGGAGTCACCTGAGGCGTGGGGCACTAACCAAAGGAGGCAGTGCCATCACTCAGGGTACCAGGAGCAACTCAGGCTGCTGGAACTCGGGTTGGAAACATGAAATAGACCCAGAATTCGAGTCACAAATGCTTAATTTTTGGCATAACTGTTAAGAAACAAAACAAACAAACCCAAAAAACAAGAATGGCCTCRTTGCCATTTTAGAGCAGTCTGGACACACAGCTGCACATGAATGCATGTGCAGGAACCTCAGACATCTTCTGTACTCTGCAGCCAGTACGGAATAGGATAGATTTGGAAAGCCTCAAACTTTGCATCCTTTATTAAAACAAACAAACAAAAACTTAAGACCATTAACTGGTTTCTTTCATATATGAAAAAGAATACCCAAAAAGATATAGAATATACACAGTCACAAGAGCATATAGATTCTTGATGTTTTAAAACACAGCAACATATGATRTTTAACAGGTTTAATACAATACTGCAATGCACAAAGTGACCTTAATTTTCCACATAGGCACCAGTTGTCCAGGTGTTCACAGGCCAACTGAGAGCTGTTCTACAACTTTTAGGAACATTTTGATGTATTTAAGGGACTAAAAGAGGTCTGGGATCCTTCTGTGCCAGATCGTATGGGCACTGCAGTCCAATAGAGGAGAACCAAAGATTTAATTCCCTGCTATCCAGACAGCAGACAAGAGAATCAATCCCAAATTCCTATTTCCAGGCTTATTTACTGTAGAGAGAAAGGCAGACAGACAGCTAGGGGCAATCCTCAATGCAGTTTCAATGTGTTCTTGTGAAATAGCTACTAAGAGCCTCAATTCATGCCCTTACCTTGCTGCTTATATTTTTAGGATTTTTGCAGAGCCTGAGCTCCACTGAGACACCCAGCAGAGACTACCCAAGGCAGCTCTGCAGTCAGCTGGCAGTAAGGAGCGCTAGGCCGCGCTTTGCTAAACCTGAGAGGTGCCGAGCGCTGCGCTTACCTCCGTGTGGGAAGAACTGCGCGTAGATCTGCTTGAACGTCTCTTCGTTAACCACCCCGCTGGGGCACTCCTGGTGGAACAAAGGAACAACAAAAATCAAGAAAAGCTGCCACTGTGTGGGGGGGTTTCACTTGCCCCAGACAGCAGTTGCACATGTGGCTTTCCCGTTCGCACAACGTACTGGCTGCATGGAACAAATTAATCCATTTGGACTCACATTCCACATTATCTTGTAGGTTTGCTTCCATATTACTGTTCCTACCGGGTTTTCTGTGGTGTTACATCCCTGTTTTATAGGGGGAGCTGGAAAGGCAGCTCGTCTGCTGTCATAAGGAGCCCTTATGTAATAATTTTAAGCGTACTGCCAGCWAACACATTCCCTTTCTGGGTCTCCACACTTATTAACTCATTAATCCCAGTCTAAAACTCAGGATGGCAGCTGGATGCCCCATACCAGCCCCACAGAGGTTCACAGAACACACTGACAAGTCAACAAGCACAAGCGTTGGCCTCCAAAAGGCCGCTTTTTATTGGTTTGGCTGGTCAGTCTCTGAGGCTGGACCAGGATGCTCATGATGCTCCAGATCTCCTAAGAGGATGGACACCTCTTGGCCTCTTTATGGCAAGATAATTTACTGCTTTTGTACAAGTTGCTGCCACTTCTACTAGTCTAGAAGCCATTTCAAATAACTGGTGGGAATTCTGCCTCCATAGCTCTTCTGTGTTAAGGAAATCCAAGTTTTAACCCAGGAAGTTGGTAGATCCTTTCAGACTTCCAGCCCTCTCTGTGCCCATCCACAGGGCTCTGTCACTTTCCTCTCAGCATGGAGTTCCACAGGAAGTCACCAAAACGCCATGATTTAGCTAGGGAATCACTTTGCAAGGCACAATTTGGGCTCTCGGGGAGCACGTGAATGGTCACTACTTATTTTTACCCAAGGAAAAGCTAGTAAATGGGGTTGCTACCTGGCAGCTCCTGCCACGGCAGCTCTGCCTGCGCGCACCCAACAGAGAGCATCAAAGTCCATCAGTCCCTTTGAATGATGAGCAGAACCTGATCAAAGCCTCTGAATGTCTCCAAAACTCTACAGCTATAAATAACTCTCCTGTCCCAGAAACTGCAGATCTTTGGAACTTGCTTCTGCTCCAGCAACGGAGAGTTTTGGTTGGTCTAATATATTTGCTCTGGTCCAAGCCCAMGCTCGGCAGCCGGGCCCGGCGCATCCTGGCTCCTTCTTCAACACAGCCCACGTAGGCAGCGAGAGGGMTAAGTTCCCTCTTCCCAAGGGGACTCAAGTCCCCTCTTCCCGGGGGTTTGGGTCTCCAAGTGGTCCTGTGGCATTGTGCCCGAGAGCAGGTGGCTGCTCCCAGCCGAGCACCATCGCTCATCCCATCAAAAGTAGCTAGTGGTGCCCCCTCACTTCAATTGAAACCTCAAATGCTACCTCCTCGTGCACACTGCACACGGCAGCTGAGGAAAAACAGACTGCTTTACTCCAACAGTCTGATGCGAGACTGCAAATTAACTCCCAGACCTTCAGTGGGGCCTTTGGAGAGGGTTTAGGCCCCAAGTTAAATGGACTCACCAGCCAACGCAGCCTGTGACAGCGTTTCAGAGACCCCAGCAGAACAGAGCTGCTAAAGCCTCAGCAGCCTCCCGTTGTAGGCACTCAAAACATGTAATACCTTGCATTAACCTAGCAAGCTTGATCTTAAAAGTCACTCATTTCCTTGCTCTGGTTGCTCAAAGCACAAACCGACTTCACAAAATCAGGAGCTGGAGAAGCTTCACAGTTGATGTGACCTCCTGTGGCCAACATGGGCTGCAGGAGCCCAGCACGAGCACTGAACAGAAACAGCCCCAGTGCACATGCTGATCCATGATCCAACCAAATCCAAAACTCCATCACAGAAAAAGCCCTTCTCAACATCCATCAGGCTTCCCTCTGTTCTATTATCACAAAACATAGAGCTCAGCTTTCTTCCAGCAATGCTCTCTGCCCAATGCACTTGACTCGCTCTTATCTCAGCGTTTCATTGTGGAGGCATCTGGAAGTGCTGAAATGTTAGTGCTGTCCTATAAGACAGCTTAAAAATAATCACATTGTGATTACTGGACTAGCTCAGTACTGATCTATTAATCATAATAAAACCATCGGCTGGCACAAACCAACTGGGTCACTAAATCCAGGCCCTGAGGCAACCACGAAATGAGTATTCATCCTTCTGTGTCCATAGAACATCTGCTCCGTGCAGTGTGAACGTTCCCTGTTGGGCTCTGCTCATTGTGGATGAGTCCCTAGGAGGTGGCAGCAGCTGGTGCCCTGGGAACAGAGGYCTGGGGAGCTGCCAGGGACCCTTCTGGCCGGAGCAGGAGCTCCCGGGGCCCAACCGGGCACTGCCCTCACCCTGCAGATGAACCAGCCGGTCATTCCCTGCCCTCACCTACAGCTGGAGGCTCCCTCCAGCCTCCTCCCTCTTCATACCCCTCTGCTTCCAATTTCTTGGAAGAATGGGCTTTGCCATTCCAGCCTTGCTCCCTACTTACAGTGGGCTTCAGGCTCCTAATGTGCCTCAACAACCTCTTCCTTGGGCAATACACCTCCAGGGGCAGAAAACAGGGGAAAAAACATCCCAGACAGCTCATCACAAGCAAACAGCACAGTTTGGATTTGAATATGATAAATTCAGAGCACGAGTTAAAAAGACGACCAACCAAATAGATAAATAAATAAATAGGTGGTCTCAAACTCCAGGTACAGCTGAGGAAATTGCASGGTATTTACTGACACTCAGGGAGCAGACTGACAAGCATACAAGGTGGGGAATATCCATCCAACTCCAGTTTTGGGCRGATTCTAGCATCATAAATATTAGATGGCGGGGAGGTTGGAGCTTGCTTTGGTGGGGTAGGAGGAGATCTGGCATRAATTCTCCCAACGTTTAGCAGGGGAGCGGGATGAGCCACAGCTGAGCGGCTCTCCCTGGGGCTCTTACGTTTTTGAATCCTCTGTAAAGCACCTGCAGTTCCCTCTTGGTAAAATTGGTCTGCGCTTCGAGCTGCTCCAGGCCTTCGGGTCTATGGCACACTGTAGTCATTTCTAATTCATCTTCAATTTTATCTGAAAGAAAAGACACAAAAATACTTATTTAGCTTGTCGCCTGTGCTCTGTTAATGGGATGGATAGCACTGGCTGGATTTCAAGAGCAATAAGAGGGAAAAAAAAMCATGATAAGACTGATCAGTGTTGTGGTTTTAACCTCCTGAAAACAAAGCAAAAGTCTGAGGAGAAGAGCAGCACCTGCCACTTGGTACTGGCTGCCCACGAGCACTCGGTCCATGCAGCAGAAGCTGCTGGATGAGCAGGAGGCAGCACAGGAGCTCCCTACCTACCCACCGAGCAGGGCTGGAGGAAGCTGGCCAAGAAGATGCTCAAACCCCAGTCCTGCATGTGGCACCCAAGGAAAAGGTCTTCAATGCACAACTTCATTTACAGTGTCATAAGATAGATTTTGTAGTCATTATTTGTTGCCTTTCACTGTTTTCCCTTAAACCACCTTCTTTAAACCTTTCTTTCCACTCTCTGACACATTCCAGACAACCACAGTGGTCTCAAAACCATAAGAAGTGTTGGCCATTTCCTTGTCCAACACTGACTTTGCTCGTGTATCTTGTATTTCTTGGTCGCATCTTCATTTTCACCCTCTGGCTWTGGCACCCTAGGACAAAGCTACACGTCACCATGCGGAGAGGCCCAACTCAGGGTCAGGCTGCTGCACGTCATTTTTGCAAATAAATCCAGATTTATCATTACAGGTCTCAAAACAGGACTCTTGGATTAGCTGGCTCCGTTTTTTTAGCTGCTTTATCCACAGGGTATTAACTCTGCTTCAGGGTAAGAGCTGCTGGTAGAAGCAGCTCAGATGATCTTCTTCCAAAGCCTGTAAGAATCATTTTTTCTTCTATTTCCGTGCAAAAGATCATGTGCGTTTGCTCAGCCCATAGGATATGCACATTTTGTGCATCAAACAAAATAAACAGTGGCTTCAGTGCTCAAAGAGTAATCAGCCTAACCCACTTTTACGCACACGCATATGTTATGGATTGCTGCGAATGAAAGAAACTGTATTTCATTTTTCTGCTACTCGCTTGAGAGCAGAGAATAAGTTTTCATTGGAACAGATCAATATTTTAACTGAAGGGACACTTTGGAAATTACTCGACAAGGCTCAATTTATATATCCTCTCATATTTGCTCTAATTTTATCTTTTGTTATCTGTACAGCTTGAAAGTTTCCATACTTAGACCACTTGTGACCAGTCTCCTGTCTCAGCACAGTAAAGGCGGCTGAGGTGAATTTACATTCCTCCTAGTGATAAAACAGAGTAATTTAATACCATTCCTGCAAAAATAGGCTGGTGCAGCTACATGTCTGCAAACAAAACTGCTTCATTGGGGAGGAAAACAGCTTTTTAGCCCTTGCTGAACACTGCTGTCCAGTGGGACCTTTTCCATCTCCTTTCCCACTGAAGACTGACTGATGACATTCATAAGTTAGCAAAAGAAATCAACCCCAGACAGTGCTGCCACCCTATTTCCATACTGTAAAATATATGGTTAAAGAATCAAGATGTAAAATAAGGCTAAGGTACCCAGTGTTAATTGTAAAACTGTCACTATTAGATGAAATGGATAAAAGTCCAGCAGAAGAGGATTAAATTATGTGAAAGAATTACTAGACTGGATCTTATTTTTATTAAAAACAACCACACACACAAACAAGGTACATTTTAGTAGTAAGGACATGAAGGAAAACAAATTAACTCCAGGTTATCTAGGACATCATTGAAATGAATCTCGAAGCAGAACACTTGCTTGGCCAGATCTCACACACAACAGATCATAATGGTAAGGAACAAATAAACTGCCAATCTTTAAAGGTTTCAAAAAGAGAAATAACCACAAGCCTGATCCATAAATGGTCATTATGGTGGAATGTTGTGGGAATGGGAATTAGGAAGAGTTGCCTTTCCTGTTCCCTTACGGATGCAACCCAGTTTGAGCTTCTCCAGCCTTGGTATAAGGAGAAGAACACGTGCTTTGGCGAGTCGTTTGAGGTCTGTGGCTTGAGATYCCAGGGAAAAGGCTGCCAGAAAGAAAGCAGGGGCTTGTTCCCACCAATATTCTCAGAATGGCAGCTTAACCAGAATTTAGGAACATATATTTGCACCTTTACAATGCCTAAAGAAGAGTTAAGCAAAATGCACTTGTGTCAAATGTTAATAAAGAAAAAAAATGGGGAGGAGGGACACTGAAATACCTACTGAAATATCAAATATTAAACATATTTAATTAAACTTGAACAGTCCTTTATTAATAAATTATTATTATTATTGCCTGCTGGTGAGATAGATCTCCACACCAAAGGGACTCTCCAGCTGATAAGAGAAACAAAACGGAATTGATGTGTCTGCACATCCATTCCCYTTGCTTGGAATTACCCTTTGATGCTTCCCGCTCCATTTTCCCTGCCAAATTAATTGCACAAACAGCCGCACTTAACCAGGGTGAGCCCAGCACGGCCCCAGAGGCCCAGGACGGCTGCATGAGAGCCCCACATGGAACAAAACCCGAGATGAAAAGCAGACAATTTTCAAGGTTTTCTTGGCTAATCCTTGCAGTCTGGCCTCTTTATTCCTGGAAATCAGGGAGCCAGTGGGTGCTGGGCCCCATCTCCATTGGGTGGCTGCAGAAATGTCCTTTTGGGACAAACACTTGGCTCCAAACATCCATCCAAATGTGAAATTTCCACTTGGAAACAAGGCTTACTAAGAGCATTAGTTTTCACTGCCTTCTACTTTGCTTGCTGCCAGCATAAAATGTGAGAATAAACTCACCCTGGGGGACCCATTTCCCATCTCAAGACCAATTATAAACCTTTTGCTTCAGAAATTATACGTAGTTGAACTGGTTTAAATTTTACCTCTCTGATGCAAGTAAAACCATCGTGCAGGGTCCAGGAAAAAGTAAGAAAAAAACACCTAAAAGAAAAAGAGTATAAAAGTGCCTTTTTGCCCCCAGTTTTGAGGTGACAGGGATGTGTGTGCCATGGGGTACTGGCAGGACGGCTCCCTGGTGTGTTTTAAAGGTGGCCATTTTAAAGGCTGCCAGCCTGTGTGGATGGCCTCYGTGTGCGGCCATTTTAGAGCCTGCCAACCGCTGCTCTTTGGGGCCACCTCACCGGCGACGCGGCAACTTCGCACAAACTAGGTTAAATACAACTGAGTTAGGTGTATTTCAAAGGCAGGCACCAGGTCTCTCTCAGCATCTGCTTTTTTGAGGGAAAATTCGGCACCCATTTTGATCCCCCACATTAGAGGCCTGCTCGGGCCAAGGCCACCTGCAGCTCTCGGGCCCAGCCTTCACCCTGGGCAGCTGCTGCCTCCCAACAGCCCAACATCAACCACCTCCTTTCTCCCCATCTCCCCTTTCTCACCCTCAGTGCCACCAGGAGCCCCAGAGCCTTCCTAATCCCCCCTCCAGACTGCTTCTCCTTCAACATCCTCCYTCCCTACAGCGGCCAAGCACAAGGACCTCACCTTGCTTCATCCAACTGGTGCTTTAACCCATTGATCATTGCCCCTSTGGGTGCTAAAATGACTCCAAGGCCCCCAAAATGGCAATTCTCAGTGTTGTGCTTCTCCATGAAGCTTGAGGTTAAGTGAAAAGACTTTGTAAAAAGGAAGGAAAGGAAGGGAGAAACATCTCCCATTCAGTGTCTAATAAGCACCAGTCTAAATTTGCATGATAACACTGCTGGTAAACTAATTTCCACCCATGAGAACAAAGAAATGTAAATGCAACCATTCATTAGAGAAAGCATGATAATAACGTCCTCATTTAGTACCCCAGAAAGCAATGGATAAGGGAAGAGCTGGCACAGCATGGAAAGGTCCCACTGTAAATATTGGACTTGATAAGATGAATGAGTACTCTGAGATCGTCAACAGATAGCAGGAATACAAGAGTTCTGCTATCAAAAAAAAAAAAAAAAAGAAAAAAGAGGAGAAATATGCTCTTCTGTATTGAGAAACTTTGTGGATTATTGAAACTTTAGAATGGAGATTACATTTTGCACATAGCAAATATGTTCTTTCTTTTCAGAGACTGGGAAAAAAGCTCAGAACAGATTAAAACACTCTCATTAAACAAAACATTTTCCTTCACCAKCTGAAAAAAAAAAATCACAAAAGTCAGCTTTCAATGACTGAATTGAAAATTAATTCCCTTCCTGAATATTAAAATTAGAATTAAAGAGYGTGGGGTTCAGAATCTGTATTTTTTACTTGAAAATCTGCACTTTTTTCACCAAGTGCAACAAAACCCATCTGAATCAACCAAGTTCATGTGCTTATGTCTACTTAGCGGATTAAACAGGATAAAGAAAAGAAACAAGGACGTTGCTTTTGACACGTCCAAAAGCTTTTCTTAAAACAGGCCAAAGCAGTTTGCGAGGACTTGAGCATTTTGTCTTGTTTCTTCCCAAAAGATCTAATACTTCTTTCCTAACTTGACACCCATGATAGGAATTCCTATCTGGACAACTGCAACAAAGCAGAGGCATCATCTCTGAGCAACTATGGTTCTATCAAAAGGAAAAAGAATTGGTTAAAAAAAGAAATCAACCAAAATTAATCGACCGTTCTGTAGATTATTTCTAATATGTTGGGGCATTATTTATAAATATCAGGTAATATCATGTTCACAGTACTATAGAAAAGCTACCAGTGAAGCACAACTGCCCACCTGGGAGACACCTCAGGGCCTGTTGGGACCAACGCAACACTAAGTCTTTGTACTTCAAATTCAGTTACATTTTTCAATGTAATTTGCCTCAAAAAGGTTTCCTGAATATGCAGCCCAAAGAAAGCTGGATGCAAACAAACCTTCCAGGCACTGAAATAAGATGAGGAGGGGAAAAAAGAAAATGATTTTAATCTGCAGGCAAATAATCTTGTTTTTTGCAGGCACCACGAAGATGGCTGCATGTCTCCCGGGATGCTCTCAGGGCAGCATTTTCCACTTTTTCCTGAACCTCTTCCCCTGAAGGCAGGAGAAGC